ATATATATATATATATATATATATATATATATATATATATATATATATATATTTGTGTGTGTGTGTAGAGGGGGGATGATTTTATGTCATTGTTTAAATATATTTTTGTGATAAAAAGAAAATTTTGTATGTGTTAAGACTGAAATAATAGTTTTGGTGTGTGCGTGTGTTAAAACCGTGATTTATGAAATGAGAATTGAGTTACCAAGTTTAAATAATAACGAGATTGAAATAATATTAGTGTAATCAATATAAATATGTGCACGTAAGAATTAGTCATCAGGTTACTAACGACAAACGACAAGACCATTTACCAAACTAAATATATAGCTATCCTTGTTGGATGATGGAATTCTTCCATGTTGCAACTTGCAAAATTGTACTTGTGTTTCAGACAATTGTTAATGGTCCAATCTTGATAAGTTTGAGAAGTATTAGTCACATTCCTCTTTGTCAAATCAAATTAGTGGTCTCCATTTTGGGAAGGAATTCGTTTACATTACCGAAATCAATTTTTTGGTACTATACCTCCATTTTTTATCTAATAAAAACGTGTTACATGTAATTTTTTTTATTTGTTTCAATCAATGTTTGTAAAATCATCCAAACTAAAATTGATTTTGAATCAATTTCGGCACACTACGTTTATGCTAGGTAGCCTTATCATTAATGGAGGTAGTGTACCACAAGCACAACCAAACAAGTCCTTATTTTACTCAACTATTTCGGTCTTATAATCAAGATTAAATAGGTGATACAAAGAATAATAAGGCCATGTTTCCTACAAGATTTTAGATTATTTGATAGTCAATGAACATATTTGTTGCAGCTATGAAGAATAACAATTAAGGAAATTTTGTGTACCAATAATATGTATAAACAAATTTCAATGCTTAATTATCAAAAATACCCTTTTAAGCTATAAACGCGATAATTTTGTGTTTTTTAAAATTAATTTATAATAACTTAGCCGATTAAATCAATTATTACAAATCTTATATATGGAAACGAGGCAGTCAAAGCATGTAAGGGTGATCTTTTATTCGTACTTTGACTACTGTTTCTTCTGTTGGAGGGAATATGATTTTCTTTTCTGTTTCATTTGCTTTTTCAGCTTTAACATAAGCACTCCTATTAAGCCAATCCTATCCTCATTCCTCTTGCATGGATTTCACAACTCTTTTCAAGGTTTTTTTTTTCTGGGCTTTTGCCTTTGGAATGAGCTTTCTTTTTTATGTCATTTTCTATAGCATTCTGGCGAAAGGAAGAAATATTTCCAGAGCACATCTGGGTGTTGTGCACTTGATTCTACTGCTTGAGATGTAAACTCATGGGAGCTATTTGAGATGTTAGAGCGAGTACAATCAAATTAATATGTCCTGGATTGTAAAATAGATTCATTCAGATCGGTATACACTTTCACTGATTCGGTGGGAATTAGCCTCTCCGAAAAATGGATATAAAATTGTCTATCATTTGTTTCACTTATATGTCACTATGCAGACGTAGACAGGAGCCTTGTACACTACCGGGTATGCCTTTGATATGTATGGGTAGCCTACTTAACCTATGGTACATAACTGCCGCCCATCAACTTGGCTTATGGGTTGTTTTATTATGTGTCCACCAAAAGGATATTATGCAGCTAAAAATAATGGATACTCTGTGTGTGTGTGTGTGTGTGTGTAAGGAAAGAATTCATGTGGACCAGATCAGGGAAGGGTCTGGGTCTTCACCTTCTATATATATTTGAACAAGTTGTTCTCTTGTTGAATTAGTTTTACCTACCAGAAGCAACCAAGATCAAGGGTGGTTGCGGTTGGTAAACCGCCAACACCAAACCAATCAGGGCTGAGGTACTTTTTTTTTCCTCTCCCTTTTACATCGACCAGCCATATAAAAAGCATAAATGACACATTGAAACGAACCAAAATACTGAAGATATATGCAGGCCAAGTAAAAAAGATTGCATCGCAACATAAAGTGTCAATTAAAAGGGAACTGGATCTCATCCAGCTACCTGAGATACTAGCATAAGCAGCAAAGCAACATATAATGAGGTGCTACTAGAGCATACTTATGTAAAGCAACTCTATCAAGATGTTGAGTTTCGGTTGTACTCTATGTGCCCACACCTGCACCCACGAGAGAGTCATTCGTTGAGCAACAAAGAGGTACATGCCATTAATGTACACCTGAATCTACACCATTAATGTAGACGAGGATGCTAGGACAATATTAGATTTTAAAGCTTTGCAGCTTTTGAATGACCCCGCAAGCTATTAAAGATTTAAGGAGAAAAACAAAATTTTCAACTACCTTGCTGTCACGAGTCTGCTACCCAGAAATCTCACATCCAGCAAATATTTGTGCTATAGACACATAAGATAGAGGGGGACGGTATCAGTCCTTAAGGTTCACATATAAACAAACTTACAACTCAACTCAACGCAACAAAAACTCTCTGAGTGTGTGTAATTAATATCCAATTGTTGATCTCTTGAACCATATACCAGAATCAAATTCATCTATAAGAAAAGTTTCGAGTCATGAAATTGGGAAGTTCATTTGATTAAATTTCTCAATTGACATAATGATTTTTCACGTCAACACATCAATAGCAGTCCAGTCCATACCCGCGGGGCGCGGGGGGGCGAATGAAGAACAAAAAGCAGATCACTGAGTAGCTGTGTATTAGAAATGAACTGCATGATACATGCACAAAAACAGCGAATACACATAAATCAAAATACTGTGAGTTACATTGTGAGAATAATCCATCGACACCATTTTTATCTTACCATAATGTGGAACGGACAGTGAGGAAGCTCATCCAATCATGGTGCGCTTCCTACCTCTTTGTCGCACTAAAAGAAGTTGTCAAACGATAAGAAAAGGACAACATAAAAAGGATAAAACAATAACGAAAATGTAAGATGTAAGGGTTGCACCTTGAGCTAGCTTGTTCAATGTTGCTGACCATTGCTTTGAGGACTTCCTATACGCAGCAAGTATCTGCTCCATCTATGCAAAAACACAAATCCATAAGGAAATCAATTTCATCTCCCTTAGGCTATGTTTATATCAACAGAAAAAAATTTATTTGCCAGTCACCTGTGTTTTAGTGAAAATATTCTGATAAAAATTGGTGATACAATGTCATTAGCACTATGTTTGATGTGAACAATTGCATGTGTACAAGATGATTAGATGCCGATACCTAATTGTGCCCAGTGGTGAAGCCACCAAAAGACCAGGTCGGGCCATGGCACCCCCCAGTGTCAGACTACGGATGACCTTAGATGAACGCAAAACAAGTAGCATTTTGGTACATAGGTGTTTCAGCCTCACAAGTGGCTTGCATGTAAAAAATATTTGAAAAGAGAATAGTAACACCATTATCAGCGAAGTTTCTTAAGCTGAAGAAAGGCATGTGCAAATGATGACGAGATAATCATACATCAATGTGGCCATTGCAATTTTCATCTTATACAAATCATTTTTAAAGGTGAAGGAAAAACTTATTGAACAAGAGAGAGAGAGAGAGACTAATGCTCTGTTTAACTGCCAAATAGATGCAGCAAAGTAAGTTCTTCCATGTTTCATAGGATTTTGTCAAGGATAAAGTGGAGCATAGAGAAAATGAGAATGAAGGAAAGAAGATCGATTATTCTCACCACATTCCCGCATGAAGAATGCATAGAGAGCAAAGCTCGTTCAAGTACATATAAATCAACTGCTTTATCCTCTGGAAGAGTTGATGTGAAGCTCAGACCAAAGTCAATGAGCACCTAAGGGAAACCAGGAACAGCAAATATCTCAGTACAGAAATTTGTGCAAAAGAACAATGCTACAACTAGCCCTACTCCCCTTTTTCCAACCCCACCCCCCCCCCCCCCCAAAACAAAAAA